GGAGAGTGTCCGCAGCTCGCCGCCCGCCGGCGCCGTGCGGGACCCCCGCGCCCCAGCCCCAGCTGCCGCCTCGGGGTGGGGAAGGGGGGCGGGGGGGAGGGAGTAGCTGAACCGAGCGCGGGAGGGAAACGAGAGGAGATTGACTTCGCCCTTTCAGACAGGTTCCCAAAGCGCCCGCGCTGTGCCCGCTGGAGCCCGGGGTCTCTCCAGTTCACCTGGGAGGAATCTGAGGGGCAGAGGCCAGCTTACCGACACGACACACGCTGAGGGGACTCAAACCCGGTCTGGTCCGAGCTCGGAGCCGAGCTCCTTCTCTCCTGTCACTTCCGCCTCAGTGAGGAGAAAGGCGTGGTAGTGGGGGGGGGTGCAGATGGGACTTGGGGGTGGGGTTGGGACTCCTGGATCTGCCTCCCTCTGTGGCTTTGGGGGACCCTTCAGCACCAGGTGAGGGAATGAATGGAGGAGGGAAGGCAGTGGTGGGGAGGAAGCCTATTGGGCAGGTGATGCTAGTCCCCGCCTACCTGATCCCCAGGGGTGCTGTGCCTGGGGCAGATCAAGTGGGAGGGAGTACCTGTGTGACAGTCTCCTGTAGAAGAAGGAAGACCCCCAAACCCAGTTTCTGCCACAGGGGGAAGGCTTAAGGGAGCCCAGAGGAGGGAAGAGATAGCTGCACATCCAGGGAGGCTCTTGGAGTGGCCCAGCCCCATCACTGCTGGCTGTGACTTTTGCCCCCATTCTTACTCCTACACCCTCCTGGGCTCTCTGATTACTGCACCACAGGTCCTTTGCACATGTGTATTTTTTTGATCAAAAAGTAGTCATCAAACATCCCAGGCACAAGCAACTCAGTGGTGAACAAGGCAGACCTAGTCTGGGACTTCCACACCAGTGCAGGGACACAGATGATGAATAATAGTCCAGAAGGGAATGGGGCATGGGAATGGGAAGCAAGCTTGGGTGAGGAAAGGCTTCGTGGGGCTTCGTGGGGCGCAGGGGCACCGGGAGAAATCGCGGCACCATCCCGCTCACTAAGCGGCTGTCGCAGGGTCTGCGACACTCGACTCACTGTCAGAGGGATTCATGGCTCCTCAAACTTTGGGCCCCAATCACCTCCTCCAGGAAGCCTTCCCTGACCTCACTGACCTGACACTTCCCCTGTTGACAGGCTATCATAGTCTGGGGACCATTCCTTCCATGGACATTTTTGTGTCATTATTGGGTTAATGTTTGTTTCCCTCCATCAAATGCGTCATGAAGGCAGGACCCGAATCTCTTTTGGGTAGACAGTAGACAAATCGAATAAAGGATGGGTAGAATTTCCCCAGAAAAACACAAACTGCTCAGCCAGGTCGGGCATTCAGATGGCAGAAACTTTTCTCTCTCCTTCCCTGGACTGAGTCCTGGGCTCCACACCCCATTTGTAGTTCACTGAAATAAAGTAAAAGAAACCAGCAGGCCTAGTGAGGAAGAGAGCAAGGAGAGGCCTGGCACAGATGGCCCACTGAAGCTCCAAGGCTGTTCCAGTGGAAGGGAAGGGACCTGCAGAGGGGGAGGCCTGAGGACAGGTGCCTGTCCTGTTCTCTGGGCTCAGACCAACCTAGTCCCCAGTCCAACCTCTGTCCCAGCTCTGGGAGGCTTGGTTTCCTTCAAATGCTACTCTGGAGAAGGTGGTGGCCAGCAGGGTCCCCAGGATGGCCAGGGCACAGGGCCATAGTAACTGCATGGCCTCCCCCGCTCCTCCCCCAATCTGGAGGGGACGGGACCCTGGGCCGCACCTGTCTGACCCAGAGTCAGGCCTCTGGGCCACAGATAGCTGCCCGGGTTCCCCACCGTTCACTGAAACTCCTGGCTGGAAAGTAGGACTCAGGCTTCCAAGGATCGACTCTTCTTATTTTTCGTAGTTTCCACACTTAGTGGATTTCTCCCTCCCCTGGCTCTGTCAGACCTGTGTGCCTGGCACCTTTCCTGTGGCAGATTATGCTCTCACAGATGCCCAACAAAGCTTTTAGCCGCCCCCCCCTCCACTTCAGGGAGTTGCCTCCATGCACGGCTAGAGAGAATGTCTGCATGCTTTATTCAGGCTCTGGCAGGGACCGAAGAAAAGCGGCCTCCCCACCCACCCAGCCAGCCAGCCCTCCGGACTGGAATTGCTTTAAAAAATTAATTTGCAATGATTTACGTCCTTCTGTTCTGTGGGGATCACCAGCATTTTAAATATGTATTTAAATCAGATTCACTGCTCCCAGTTAAACCTTAACCGCCTCCCCCCCTCCCCCTCCCCCACCTAGCAGAAAGAGCACTGTATTTGGAGTTGGTGAAACTCAGAGGTTCAGGCCGAGTTCTGCTAATGACAAGCTGTGTGACCTTGGGCAAATTACTTAACCTCTCTGCGCCTCCATTGGCTCCTCTGGTAACTGAGGTTAATGATAATCCTTCCCTCACAGGGTGTTGTGAGGATTAAATTAGATAACGTTCAGGGAAGAGCTGTGCAATGCCAGGCCTGTGTTTTCTGTTCCCCGGTACAGGCTGTCCCGCTAATTAGCCTGGTGACCTTGGGCGGGCCACTCAGCCACTCCTGGCCCTCAATTTCCCCATCTGAAAAGCATAGAGGTTGTTCTAGGAGATGAGGCCACAGAGCCCCCCCTCCCCCGCTCCATCCCTGAGCCCCCACTCACCTCCTCCAGCCCTCTGCCAGACACCCTCCCCTTGGCCACCCTCTTTTTCATTATCCAAGCGCTCGGTTCTAATTGGAGATGGCCCCCCTCCCGGCTGCTTCTCCTCCTGGCTCCCTACGAAGCCGAAGCCGCAGGGTTTGGGCCCCAGGGGCCTGCAGTTCTTGGCTCATTTTCAGGAGCAATTAGCCGTGATGTCACAGGCCTCGGTGGTGGCCTCAGTGGGCGTGTGTGCCTGGAAGCCTGAACGCCACTCTGTCTGTGGCCTGTGGGACTCCCCCAGGCCAGGGGGTCCCCATTGCTAGCTGTAGAGAGGCAGCTTCCCCGGCAAAGCCATTTCTGTACTTTATGACTCCTTGAAGCCCCAAGCCTCAGTGTAAATTAGTTCTACCCTGTGCTTTTGTTGGTACTGTCTGTTCCTTGGAAGCGAGGGGCTTTGTCAGGAAGAACAAAGCTGTTTGGTGTTTTTCTGATTTGGGGGAAGCGTGCTCCTGGGGGAGGGCTCATCGCTTCTCGGTGTCAGTCTGGAGTCCTCGATTCTCAGACTCACTGGTTTTGTTTTGGGTTTTTAAGCCCTATGGCTTAAGAGTCACATATGTTTGTGTGAGTGTTGGCTAGGGGATCTCTTTCCTCCCTTTTGG